TTGAAATAAAATTGAACCATATGTTAGTCCCGAAATGACCTAGTTTGTGTCGAGTGGACGTTAAACTCCCTCTCACTCTAACATGATCGGTAATGCCGTATTTCCTTCTTAGTCAAACATGATTTTAGTTTTTTTATCCTACAGGAAGGTGGTTTTGGAGGCAGACCACCATTGAATTTCACCATCTCGGTAGTTCGTCTATTTATAGCAATTCTCTCTCTGTCTCCTTTCTCCCCTTCTGCATGCCCATTTTTGTTGATTTTTTGGTCTAGAATGGACGAAGAGGGTTTGAATTAACATTTTCTGCCAGGTTTTGGTAAATATTCATGATTTGGAGGCGGAAGGAAAACGGGGTTATCAGGTTGGCTACGGTGATATGTACGGCAACTAGTTACATGTTTTTAGTACGCTTCTTCAAGTTTGTGTATCTCAAAATTTTGGGGGTCAACCTCATACAAATTTTAGTGCAAAGACATGACCATTTGTTCCTCTGTCTGTAGTGAAAAGCATTCAGCCCAACGAAAATTTGGGGAAAAGTTGGAGAATTATTAAACATTGAAGTCAATGGGGAAATTAATGGTGATCTGCCTCCTTTTACGTGTATGCCGATTGACGGGGTTGTCTCCCATGTAAAAGCTTTTAAATAGAAGACAAAATTAAAAGATACTGTACAAAGCGATTTTTTTCGTAAACTCAAATACCGGCGATATCATATCATGTTTTAGTGAAGCAACACAACTCTATGTATTTTGTCAAAAATAACTCTGATGCCAAAACAAAATACAAATACGCCGATGATGTCATTGAGAGCAAGTTATAATTCATTTTTGATAACATGCGTGAGGAATGCGGATGACAAACTGGTTATCAAGTTATTGGTGTTTATCTGGGAATCAACTGTGCTCCTTTAAATTACTATAGAGTCCTCTTTGCATACAACCCGGAGTGTGAAACTTTCAAACAGGTTCATTTTTATTCAAAGTGCTTAACCCGGCGCCATTTTGTCCCGCATACATCCTCTTGTGTTCAGAGTAAAAGTCATGCTTCGTTTTTCATGGAAGCTGCTAAAGTCGAGAGGTGAGGACACTTGACCCTCTACTGGAGAAAATCTTTGGATTTTTCAAGTTCGGCGCCTCATCATAGAGATCATTTCTCAATATTGTGCAGTTCACATTAGATTACATTGAAGAGTTCATATGTATTTATATTCATGCTATATTTATATACCGGTATAATACAATATACTTTATTGTTACGGTACGCCATTGTTACAATCCTATAGCCACGGTGACTCAGAGATTCAGCTAATGTGGTGAACCTGTGTTCCTTCCCGATATTGGCCGAGAAACTTCATCTGGATTTTCCGGCATGGTTCCCTTTTGCCAGTGGCGTAGGATGGGTGGCCTGCCCAAGGACAACATATAGTTGTTAGGATTGGACGAAAAACCAAGATCCCGTGTACACATTGGTGTGCACGTAAAAGAACCCTTGACAGTTGGAATTACATGTAAGGGTAGGCCGTAGCGCCGCTGTCCGGGTAAAATTATCCTCATAGCACACTGCATGGCACGTGTCCGTCTTCATTGTTGGAGCAGAACAGTAGATGCTAAACCCCATTTCTTTCCATTTGTTACAATCCACGCAACATCAATGTATACTCGTATCACGAACATTATTGGACTGTCATTATCAGGACATATTTTAAGAAATCTGAGGTACTGTGGTATATGTGATGTGCTTTAACCGGAGCGAGGCCTGGGGGGGGGGGGACAAAGTGGTCTGCACACACTAATAAGGACACTACAGGGCTCCCTTTCAAAGACACATTTTTTAAATGAATGTTTCAATCTCTTTGCGGTTCTTTAAGAATACCCAAATATTTCTAATTAGGATTCATTGTCTCTGGCTGTGAACGCCGAGAGAACCATCGGTATTGCTCCAAAACAATTTATATTTTGTTATTGGCAGTGGGACATTAGATGTGTTAATTGTACTAAAATGCGGGAACCAAACTGTAGTTGGTTATATTTTCGATATCATTTCCACGGGTGTGTACGCACTTGCCTAGCATGTGATTAATAGTTAGGTATCCGAATCTGCACTCTTTTGTTTACATAAAAGATGTTTCATGAATAAAGAGTGTTTGAATATTTTCTCTACATTTGCGTCCCCTTGTCACATGTTATATTCATATGGTGTGGCATCGGGAAAATGGGTTTTCAAATTTGACTTGGGCGAAAATAAACAGATTTGCTTCTGTCAAGACGGCCAAAGACACGATCAATGATGATTAAAAATTTCAGTCCAATTCCTCCACTTTTTTGTTTTCTGAGTTTAATAACTTTTTTAACACCTTCCATGGCATCACATATCTCAACTATGGATTAGCCTTCACCGGGTTTCCAGAACCATAACGTTATGTAAACTACCGGCTAAGTTTCGTCTTCTTCATGAATATGTGTATGCCTACCATAGCAGATCTGGAAAATGACACTTCCAACACTACCGTAGATAATATCGCCTGGAGAAAAGAGTTTCCCGTTTTGGTTATTAAATTCTGAAATAGATATCTTTACTTCTGGACAAAGTTTTCCTCATGGCAGACTGTATGGCGTATGCCCGGCTTCATTAGCCCAGTCTGAGCAGAACAATATGACGTTAAACCAAATTTTATTTCATTCCCTGTGGGCCGGGCATGCACCAAGACAACAGGGATCACCCTTAGGTGTAACGAATACGTATGAAAGTGTTTTTTAAAAGACGATCCGTTAAGACTCGTTGAGGCGCAACCCTCAAAATTTAACGACGGGATGGACAAACCGATAGATGGACAAAACACGCTATCCCTTTATTCTGCTAGTTTGAAAGAAAAAACAGACCTATAAAAATGTATTTTCTAAAACTCTTTTAATTTTGAAATCATATTGTTTTCACATAGCTTCATAATACTTATTTTAAAGACAGAAGTTCGCGTAGAAAAAAACAATATGTTGCAAGACATAACGACGTATATAGCAGACCAGACAAGTCTGGTAACATTTGTGATGGTTCTGGTTGGTACCAAGATCATATTGGATTTTACCATAAAAAACGATACCAAAACCCCCGCCGACCAGGAGGTGATCAGTTCCCGAATATATGAAATTGTTGGCTACTCACCCACACATTACCTTAAATAAACTTAGGCAGAAATATTGTGACATCTTCAGTATTCAAAGGGGCAGTTTTCCAGCAGTTGTCATCGGAAAGGAGTTGATTAAGGAGGCTTTGGTTACACAATTGCTTTATTTGGGGAAGGAAAGGTAACATTCGAACGATTTACAGAAAGTAGCATAACCCACAAGATAGCCTACAACTGTTTGTATGTTTTTTGCAAATGCCAGGAAGAATCCAATAGAAGACATGGTTAACGAGGAAGTAAAGAATGTTCACAATTGCTGAAGGCAATATTGGTAAGGTCAATCAGAGCTGCGAATCATTTTCCACACGTCATAAAAAGAACTCTCCTACAACTCTTGGACCCGACTTAAGGCTTTCTACAATTCACTTTCCAGCCTTACATAAAACCTATCGACCCAGTTATCTATAAGTATCTCCTTTGTATCAGTCTTATTTATATTTATCTACTAGCGGTTGACCCGGCGTAGCATGGTATAGCTATGAACCGCAAGTGGTTGTCCATCGCCACCAGACCTATGTTACTCCCCGGTCCGGAGCTACCCCTATACACCAAATTAGCACTAATGTAACCACCAACCCCGAACAGACATACATACAAACAAACAAACGACAGCCACTAATATAAGTATAGATTCTACTTTTTACAACATGTAATGAGTCAAGCTGTTGTAGAAAGAGGCTAAGGTGATAAGTCGACATCACGACCTTACGGCAATAAGACGATGTTACCACAGAATAAAGTGTACGGCAGAATAAATTCTCGTATGATTGCGTTAGTACTGTCGCGATTTCGTGTTATGAAAAGGGCAAGATTCCACATGTCCATTATCAGCCATCATATTATTTGGGTAAAACTATAGCCCAAGATTACTTTATTAGTAAAGTACATATCAACAATCTTTATTCATACTGTATTTATATACACGTACATATAATATACTACATTCAGTAACATTCTATTATAAATTACCCATTATCACAATGTATCAAGGTAATAAACACACTAACCAACTATATATTTAACGCTTATATGTATGACGGGCGGATGCGGTCACAATGGGCCATTTATATGACTTACTAATTCCATTTTTATGACTTACTAATTCCATTTATAAAGCTTTATAATTAATTACTTACTTAGGCACGTGTGGACGCTGAAACCCATCGAAATGGGTGACTGAATTGAATATTATTTTCATAGTTTGATAAATAATTATGAAACTACGTAATTATTTATCAAGTCTTATAAATCCATTTATATAACTTACCTTTCATGGCGGCTATTGTAAACATAAAATGACGAGAATAAGTTTTATGCATGTTTTAGTTATCCTAGCGTCAATTTACTTTGCTAAGGTCACCGCTCCCCCTCCACCCACCGACCGGGGTAGTTCTTTTCACAATTTCTTGCGAGTTTGCCGAAATATCGTGTCGGATGATGTAGGCCCTATGACAACGACGCACACAACTCGAAAACCGCGGACGGGAGTGGGAGGGGCTTGCCATTCAGTAAGACGACCTGTGATTGGCTGGCCGAAGCATCCTCGGGAATTTCCGGGCAGATGTACGAACTTTCCCGAATATTTAGTTCGTTAGATAATTCATTTATAAGACTTAGAAAATAGATTTATATAGCTACCATATTATTTACAAGACTTTATAAATCCTTTATCAAGCTATGAAAATAATATTCAATTCAGTCACACGCTTCGAGGGGTTTCAGCGTTCGCACGTGCCTAAGTAAGTAATTAATTATAAAGCTTTATAAATGGAATTAGTAAGTCATATAAATGGAATTAGTAAGTCATATAAATGGCCCATTGTGTAGATATATTTATTAAAGGGTCTATCTGTTATAAAGCATTAAGCAATAGTTTACACCACCACCCTACATAATATAACCAATTCCGACGAGATCTTTGTAAAGAGGACAACAGTGTATCGTTTATCTCAATTATCTCAGTGATGCACATATTTCGTACTGAACTGGGGAGACGGTCAGTCCAAAAACACTATCAAAAGAATATTCCTTTATGTGGTCTGGCTTAGTAAGAATACAATTCTGAAGAATTCCCGTGAAAAAAAGAAACAGCTCCATGCGTGCAAAAAACTCTCCAACACATTTACGTCTGCCCATAGAAAAGGGGTTGAATACATCTGTGATGTTCTTATCCAATTTTCCATCAGCGTCAAGGAATCGTTCCGGTCGAAAGATAAGGGGATCACCCCATAACATCTCATCATGACTGATGGAGTACATGTTGGGAATAACGATTGTTCCTTTTTGGATAGTGTACCCCTCAAGTTCAGTATCCTTAGTAGCGGCATGGGGTAAGGAAATCGGGGCTATACTTGCAAACCTTGACACTTCGTTTAATGTTGCCATGCAGTAGTGCATTTCGGATTTGTCATCTAACTTAGGTTGCCGTTGTCCCAAAACGTCGTCAATTTCGGCATGAACCTTTCGTTGAACTGTGGGATTTGCTGTTAGCAGTAGCAAAGCCCAATTTAAAGTTGACGATATGGTGTCAAATCCAGCACCAATAATATCATCCAAGGTGGAGTAAATCCTTTCAGCTGTAAAGACTGATGATGGGTCAGCTTCAGCTTCTTTAACGGCAGCAGTCAAGCCATCCGCCAGGTGTCTCGGACTAGACGGTGTATTGGTCTTCAAACTTTCTTCTACTTTTTGTTTTCGGATTCCCTTAACCTGGTTAAAAAGTTCAACAACCGTTGACACTTTCCATGGCATCACATATCTCAGCCATGGAATAACGTTCATGGGGTTTCCAGAACCAGCAAATTGTATAAACTTCCGGGTATTTTTTAGAAATATTTGAAATGTTTCATCTTCTTCGTGAATATTTGTATGCCTACCAAAACAGATCTGGAAAATGACACTTCCCACACTAGCATAGATACTATCGCTTGGAGAAAAAGGTTTCCCGTTTTGCTTATTAAATTCTGAAACAACAATCTTTGCTTCCTCGCCAATCACGTCTTCTATTGGATTCTTTCTGGCATTTGCGAAAACATACAAACAGTTGTAGGCTATCTTCTTATGGGTTATGAAACTTTCTGAAAATTTTCCAAAAACTAATGTCTCTTCTCCTACTATAGAGTTCATGTAAAATTTTGGCCTACCGGAAAAATTGTCACCTTTTTTAACCAAAGCCTCCTTAATCAAGTCCTTGCCACTGATTACAATTGCTGGAAAGCCGCCCATTTGGATACTGAAGATGTCGCCATATTTCTGCCTAAGTTTGAGAAAGGTGATGTGTGGATGAGTACCGAAGAATGGCAGATATCCTAAAATAGGAACCCCTCTTGGTCCAGGGGGTGTCTTGTCTTTTCTAGTTAAATCCAATATGATCTTGGCACCAACAAGTACCAGCACAAATGTTACCACACTGGCTTGGGTCTTGTTGGTATCTGCTATATAAGCAGTTAATTCTTGCAGCATTATGTTTTCTTCTACTTGAACCTCTCCTGTGTTGATAAGTGTTATGAAATGTAGGCGGCTATGCCTTATCAGCCCATTACAAATACAGTTGTTATTTTACATGTACATATCTATTACCCCTGTCCGCTGTTAAAGGCTGTATTTGGCACGTAGCCAGGACTCGAGATATCGTCGATATGAGGTAAATGACCGAGGGTATTATGGTAATATTTGTCTTACACACCGACATCAATGTTAAATCTATCCTAATTGATTTCACCGATAAGACAATGGTTTAGCCCATATCGGCCCTGCGACTGACATGACAAAATTAAGAAAACAAGTCGTAATTTGCAGGTGCATTACATTTTAGTAACCACCTGTTCACAAACTGGCATTCATTGTGCAATGTTGTCAAACTAATCGGATGACGAACTGATGTAATATAGAAAAAAACGTAGATTCTGACAAAGAATTATTTAAAGCTAGTCAAAGTGCAGAATTTATGAAGAAAATATTTTTTTTAACAAGGATTTAATGTACTTGAATTGTGGGGAAGATACAAAATTAATGATACACGCTTTTCTGTTTCGAGTGACAAGACGTCAGTGAATGTGCCAACAATACCTGCTAACTTTTGTAACAGGTGGTCAGTGTTTCGGAATAATAAACATGATAGTGAGCGAAAAATCCTGTGTGCGATGGAAGATATGGGTATATAAGATCTTATTTTAGGATCTCTAGATTCGTCTTTGAAGTAAACAAAAAAACAAAACAAAAAAGAATATTACCCACCGAATTCCTTATTTAGTTATGGGAATAGTTTCACATTTGCGGATTACGAATACACCTGATGTGGATATACTACATAATCTAGAATTTGAGTTTCAGACAAATTCTTGATGGCCAGATAGATAAAGAAACCAAGTAACATGGGCCTGGCAAAGTTCGTCGTCCGAATCGTTTAACAACATTGTACAATAAGTGAATAAAATGTCAAAAGAAAGAATTTGTGTCCTTTTTCTTTGCAGAGTCCCTAGGGTTGATATCAGATATGACCCCCCTGATGACGTCACACAAGGTTGATACGTTTCATAACATGCATGGGAGATCAAAGGTGTGTAAAAATAGGTACAGCCCTATGGCGGATCATGCCGAAATGGAACAAAATCTGTTACTAACTGCAACCTTAAATAAATATCTCCAAATATCTCGACAATTACACCACAATATCTGACTGTTATCATAGTGCGTAGTGTATGCGAGAAATCACTTCAAGATAATCCCCTGAAGCGTGTACATTCGCCGTGTCGAGACCAACTTTCTGCACGGTGCACGGGTCACCCTACTGTAGACTATTTATAGACAAAATATTAACAAAAATGTGGGTGTTGCACCATCCAAAGGGAGAGAGAGAGACAGGGTGAGAAATGGGGTTTAATGTCCACTGGACACAAACTAGGTCACTTCAGGACTAGCATATGGTTTAATTTTATTTCAATAATTCGCTTGTGCGTAGGGCTCTTTAGCAGTCGGAGGAAACCGGGGGACCCGGAGAAAACCCATGACGTTTGACACCCGACCCTACAACCGGGGAATCAAAACCACGCCATTTGAATCAATTACAGACCTTATGATACAACCGTTCGGCCATCCAACCCACCGACAATTTCTGAAGACTTGATAATCAAAGAATGGACATGTGACGAATTAACAAAGATATAAGTTGATTGTATGCAAAAATAGGCGGAGTTTTTCAGTAAAATAAACTAGTGTCCAAAAGAAACGATACCAACTTTCTTTCCAATTAATTTTTTTCTAAGTGAAATTTTTAGTATGAAAACATGCCAATTCGTATTTCACATCCCTAACACAGCATAGTCCATTAAAATACCGGGAACACTTGATCACTTGAGGGAAAAAACGTAAATTTCGTGAAAGTGACATTTCCCTCTTTAGCATGTTCTGCACGTGCATGAAAACTTTATAAACGGCTTATCAGACACGTTGATATCACAGCAACAAAAAGAACACAAGATATGCCACGTATGACAGCCATCGAGAGAGAGAGGGCCGTTGGAATGGTTCAACAAGGAGCGTCAAATGTCGACGTCGCCAGAAGGTTGGGCTGCGCACGCATCACTATCACCAGGTTGATGCAGCGATTCCGTCTGACAGGTCATACGTCAGACAGGCCTAGGAGTGGAAGACCACGAGTAACCACGCCCCGTGAGGATCGTTACATCCGGGTATTACACCTGAGGAACCGCACCGTAACAGCGACATCCACGGCGGCGACGACGACACAGGATCAGTCGACAGACCGTCTACAGGAAACTACGGCAGTATGGTATCCGGCCACGGCATCCCTACCGCGGACCGCACCTGACGCCTCGACACCGGCACGACAGACTGATATGGGCCAGGCGAGTTCGAAGTTGGCAACGGCGGGACTGGGCACGTGTTATGTTCTCTTATGAGAGCAGATTCGTCATGTTCCGAAACGATGGACGGCAGCTTGTATACCGAAGTCCGAAGAGTTGGTGAACGTTTGGCGCCTAACTGTGTCCTACAGGTCCGGCCATTTGGAGGTGGAGGGTTACTTCCCCTCAACAATTCGAGATTGGGAATTATTAGAGGACCCCTTAAAGCACTCAACCAACATTAAATCCTTCAAATATCTATACAAACAAAAATTACGTTCTTTAATACATAAAGCGCCGATCTACTACTGTAAAGGTAATAGACATGAAAATATTATTCACACTAGAATACGTCATGGGTGTAGTACGTTGCAAAATGATTTGTATGAAATAAATGTTGTGAATGATCCCACATGTTCTTGTGGCAAATTTATAGAAAATGCTGAACACTATTTTCTGAAATGTCACTTATATGATGTAATACGTGCCGAGTTATTAAATACATTGTCAAATTATTATGTGATAAATATAGATATCCTATTGTGCGGCAATCCAGAATTGTCAATTGAGATGAATACAAACCCTTTCCTTGAAGTTCACAAATATATCAAACAAAACGATTTAAATAAAACTTAATGATATTAGTTACTTCTTAGTATATATTATTAGCAATAGTTTTTTTGCTTGTTTTTGGTGGACACCCCCCCCCCTCCCCCCGCCGCTTTTGTTGTTGTCATATCATTATAATATATTTCCTTTATTCCCTTTTCGTTCGTAAGGGTAACAAGAGAGCATAATTAACTCGATTGTTTAGAATTATTTAGCAAATCATTTTATACATGCATCAGTCAAATTATATCCCATTTATAAAACTTTATTTTTCAATGTTTTAAATATCTTGAACAAAATGTATAACAGTGATATTGTGATATAATTTTAAATATAATTTTATATTCTCTTTATCACCTCTTCACTTATTTTTTATATAGAGCTTTACGATATAATTCATCTGATTTTACTCATATTACCTATTATTTATCATTGTATATACTATTTCGCCATCTTGTTTGCATTAAATTTTGTCTATGATTTGTATGTATGGAAAGGGCTTTTCTAAGTTTTTGAAACTTGTGCTCAATCCTTTTGATATTTGTCAATAAAATATGTTTAAACTAATGGTTTGGGGTGGCATATGTGGTGACGTCACAACGAGGCTTGTCGTAATTCGTGGAAACCTGAATGCACAGCGTTATCGTGATGACATCTTACGGCCTGTTGTCGTGCCCTTTCTGCAGCAACAGCCTCGTGGAATCATTTTCCAACATGACAATGCAAGGCCACACACAGCAAGATTGACACAGAACTTCCTTGCCAACGCCAACGTACACGTTTTGCCATGACTCGCATGTTCACCGAACTTAAATCCCATCGAGCACTTATGGGACCACCTCGATCGGCAAATCCGACGTCGCCCTGTGCCTCCAGTCAACGTGCAGGACTTGGAACGATGTCTCCTCAAGGAATGGCAACAAATCACTCCCAACGTCATCAGACGTTTGACGTCATCAGTCCGCAGGCGTCTTCTGGCATGTATTGATGCTCACGGTGGACATACCCGCTACTGACTTGATTTTAAGACGTCGTGTGTCATTTCCCGTTGTTTCTGTGATCAGTGTTCTAACGAAATGTTTTTCAACCCCACCGATCTTTAACGGCTTGTCATATTGATTGTACAGATTTGATTGAAATGATTTTGTGTACAGATGTTGTGAAAGGATTTCTCAAAAGAATAACACTAATCCTAAACTTCTACTTTGTTTAGTTTTTCTTTTCTGTCGTTGCAAACAGGTGGTATCGTTTCTTTTGGACACTAGTTTATATAAATGTAATGAGCTTCTTTATTCATGCTATTATACACGTACATATAGCGTACATTTGGTTAACAAAGTATTATATTCAATAGAAGATGAGTATTTACAATTTATCATTTTGAAAAATATAAGTGAAGCGGATGCGGTAACAAGCAAAAATGCTTATATAAAACTTTTTCTCTAATTATGATCATTACATATGTGACGACTTAAAATATATCTAGTTATAAAATAAGTGAATTCAAAGCTGGAAACAGGGAAGACGAAAGCGATTATGTTTAGAAGTGTAACATAATATCATTTCATGGTTCCAACTTTGAATTAATCATCAGTTACCAATGTCCGGGAGGTCTCAATTTAATATACATGTATACCATCTTCGTGGTTTTGTTAATAAACATTTATCATTGATTTGCTATAACAATAGTTATGTATTCGTGTACATGTAAATTGAGGAAGATACTAGCATTGGCGGATTCAAGAAATTTAAAAACCAAAAGAAGAGATCAAAATGTTTTCTTCACAACTTTTATTTTCGTTTCCGTTTAGAAGATTTTCTGAATGGGCGTCTGCTGTCATTGGGGATAGTGTGCCTCTGTGGTGTGTTCGTCCAATTTCCCATCAGCATCAAGGAATCGATCCGGTCGAAATGTAAAGGGGTCACCCCACAATATGACTGTTGAGGTACATTTCTGGAATAACGAGTGTTCCTTTTTGGATAGTGTAGGTTTTAAGTTTAGTATCCTTAGTAGCGGCATGGGGTAGGGAAAGCGGATTTATA